GTTATTCTTGCCTTCATCGGCTTTTTCGCCGAAGTTTTCGCACTCTTCCCCCGCGCCCACCAAATCTTTTTGGAATCAACTCACTGATGCCGGATGCGAATTGCGCCGAAGTGGCTTGAGTCTCTTTTTTGTCTTAGATTCTCGTATTTGATTAGATGCAACTTACTACTTGGGCTTTTTTGTTGGGAAGAGGGGGGGGGAACTGAAGAATCTTGGATATCACGATTGGGGAAGAATGGTTGGAGAGAATAGGCTAAATGGGGGGTAGAATATGGTGAGCCTAGTGGTTCTTTTGATGGCCCATAGATTGGCATTTAGGAAGAGTTTGACTCGGTGATCGGTAATGGGGAATAGTAAACAATGGTAAAAGCGCTGTGCTTTGGGATTTTATCTGTAGAATGAATTGGAGGAGGGAAGTGAGTATATGCACTAACGTCCCAGCCTAACTTGACCTACTCAACCTCACGTGACGTTTCCGTCAATTACATGCGGGGTTTGGGCCTTGGGTATTTATCGATTGCAACACGGCTCTTGCCCCGAGAGGTGGGGGTGGGGACCAAGTTCGGTATATATTGACATCAACCCCGAAGTGGGGGGATTTCATTAGGCAGCTCGAGCGGCATTGCTGCATTGAGTAACTCTTCAAACTACCTTTTTCGTGTAAAATCTTAATTGTACATACATTACTCTATCCTGTATTTACCTAGGCTTCCGTCTGTTCCCTCTTCCTGCTCCTCTATTCTTTTTTCCCCCTTCTCTCTATTGACCATACCATATTTTCATAAACGATAAAAACGGGGGTTGTGAATACATACAACCAGACAAACCCCACCCTCTCTTACCCATCGATTCCCTCCCCCCCAAACCACACCACCTTGACCCCTCCAAAACACAATAACAACAACCACCAACAATGTCGTCCAAACCACAAATTGGCTTCTGCGGCCTAGGAGCCATGGGCATGGGCATGGCCACGCACCTCGTCAAGCAAGGCTACCCCGTCACCGGCTTCGACGTGTACCCGCCGTCGCTTGAGAAATTCGCAAAAGCCGGCGGCACACCCTCGTCGTCGCTCTCTGCCTCTGCAAAAGACAAGCCCTTCTACATCGTCATGGTCGCCTCGGCCGCACAAGCCCAACCCGCGCTCTTCGACGCCGACGGCATCGTAAATGCGCTTCCCCAGGGCGCAACGCTGCTGCTGTGCTCCACGGTGCCCAGTGCGTACGCGCAGGCGGTCGAGAAGCAATTGGTGGAGATTGGACGATCGGATATTGCGTTTATTGATGCACCGGTGTCTGGGGGTGCGATTAGAGCGGCGGATGGTACACTGTCGATTATGGCGGGTGCGTCTGCGGCGTCATTTGAGAAGGGCCAGTTTTTGCTAGAAGAAATGAGTGCGCCGTCTAAACTCTTTATTGTAAATGGAGGCGTTGGTGCGGGAAGTAATATGAAGATGGTGCATCAGGTGCTTGCTGCGATTCAGATTCTGTCGCTGAACGAGGCGTATGGGTTTGCGGCCAGGATGGGGGTTAATGGGCAGGAGTTGTATGATGAGGTTGTGGGCAAGAAGGATGCGAAGGCGTGGAGTTGGATGTTTGAGAATAGGAGTCAGAGGACGTTGAAGGAGGATTATTTTCCGGGGGCGAGTGCTGTGACAATTATTCTCAAGGATACGGTACGTTCTACTACTTTCTTTTTTACTCACTGTTTTGTTCTGCTCGAAACGCTGCTAATGTGTATTTTGAAAAAAAGGGAATCATCACCTCCTCAGCGCGCGCCGCAGCATTCCCAACAACCCTCTGCTCCGTCGCAGAACAAGTCTACTTCTCCGCCCTCGACCGCGGCTGGGGCGCAAACGACGACGCCGGTCTCGTCCGTCTCTGGACATCCGATCCCGTCACTTCCATCAAATCTACCCTTTCTCCCGAGGAGAAGGCCCAAAAACTAGAGCACGCTGTAAATCTCCTGACAGGCATCCACCTCGTTGCCGCAGCCGAAGCCATTTCCCTCGCCAAACACGTCGGTATCCCTCTACCGCAGTTTTACACCCTCGTGTGTGATGCCGCGGGTGGCAGCACAATGTTCAAGGAAGCGGGCCAGAAGATGATTGACATTCTAGAGGGTAAGGAGGATGGAAATGGAAGCGTACTGGGAGGTTATGTGGAGACCTTGAAGTTGGCGGTTGAGGAGGCGCAGAGTATCAAGTGCCCCGTATATCTTGGTTCTGCGGCGCTGAACAAGTTACTGGAGAGTGGGAAGGAATTGAGTTTGAAGGGGCTGTTGGCGTGTTATTTGAAGTAGGTTTTTTTTACAAGGTTGTGGAGTGTTTCTTTAGAAAATAGAGGAATGAATTGTAAACTTTTTTTGGGATTTGTGATTAGTCAATGAAGACGGAAATGCATCTTCTCCCTGGTCCTTAAAAAAAACGAGTCTAGTGTTCTTTTCTTACTCCTAGCAAATTCTGTATATAGATACAAGCGCTAGCATTGCAACTCAGTAATATATCTTGCGAATAAAATGATACACAATATGAGGAATGTTGGCAGAATGTCCAATCTCAGCTTGACATACAAAAACAACAAAGGTACCAAGTCGAATGGTTTGGGTTGGAGCAGATATGCTCAAGTGTCAGGATGAATCTCCTAGAGAAGCAATATATTGAGATCTGGGTATTCTCTTATAGATAGTTGGGATATGTAACTAAGATGAAGATGACTATGAACATCTTTCTTTGTTGCCTCCAAATCAATTGGTCATTCCACTCCCTCTCCTTGCCCATTCATGTATTTATTTGTTCCTTCCATGGCTATACCTGCTGATACTAAGTAGTTCGACACAGATAACCTTGCAATTGTACATGATGCACCGGACGGGAATTCCTCTCTATGATAGCCCGCTCATCCACAAACGCTTTTGGCTGGCATCGTGTGCGAGGTTCCGGGACAGGACTGCGTACGGCTGCAGACGCAGTTTCCTTTCGGAGGGCTCCCGGAAAAGGCGATGACACACTCGCCGTTTACGAGGATGCCCAAGTGCTCGACTCTTGAAAGCCCTTTCGTACGCATGTCTTACAACATGTCCCAAGCCAGATGCCCAAAGGCCGCTCTTGGTGAGGAAGCCCACTGGTAACCCCCCAACTCTTCCTAGAAGAGTCTGTGATACTTGCTCAAACACTATGTTCCCTCGTCTGAAATCATGTTCGCATGGCCATTTCCAAATCCCTAGTCTCCTTGCTCAGATCTTGCACATCATCTTGAGCCATTGTCTGAGCGCTGGCTTCCAGATCTTTTATAACATTCTCCAACCCTCTGACCAGCGATTCAATCTCCGCACGCTGCGCTGTGACAGTCGATAGCAGCTCCGTATTGGCTTGCTGTGTCTCGACGAGCTTGGTGTTCATGGCGGTCGCTTGCTTCTCAAGGAAGGGCATGAGATGGGCTAGGTGGATCTCGGCAGGCGAAAGGGTGTGAGGTCTGCATAGGGTTTAGCATTACGACAAGAAGCGGGTCGGCGCATGTGTAGTACTCACGGTACGGGCGTCTCCACGGGTCCTCCGTTTGCGCTCTCTTCTGCACGCTTCTTCCGTAGCCTTGCATCTTCTATACATTGGTCCAGAGAGTTGAGTAGCTTGACTACATTCCTCCTCTCCATGATATCCTCAAAGTTGCTTTTCCATGTTCGGTCAAGCTGGTCCACAATCTGGCCCCTCAGGTTGTCTAGAACCTCTGGGCTATATTGCGCAGCGGTGGGGAAGCACGAAGCAAAGTTCTTGGCCGAGCACTTGTCTAAAGTGGCTTTTGAGGCTTGGTTGAAGACATTGATTAGACCTTGCGCGCGTGGTCCAGGCGTCTCAGCGATGGGTCGGGCAGGCGTAGGAGAGGGCGAGCGAGAATTGGAATTTGTAGCAGCAGGCATCATGGAAAGGGGTTTCAAGATAGTTTGGTCTCCAATGTGCTCCTAACAGGTGTGTGGTTGCTGTATCACAACTAATGCCGGCTATGTTTACTCGACAACACGCTAACCACACACGTGACGACGCGCATCGCTCGGATGCCCCCACTTCCCCGCGCCTATGCTACGTAGCCATGCGCTGACGTGATGAGGCTTCACCAAAAAACCGTCGTGCCTGTATATTACTCAGACCTAAATCAGATGATTAAAAGATTTTGGCGACCACTATTAGATATTGTGTCCACCTAAGTCCAGAGTCTTGTAGTTGTCGACTACATGTAAAAAGAGTCACTGGATATGTAGGCATACCTACAAGGAGAAAGGATTGGATCAAATATAGGCCATCGCATGACAAGTATCAGATGTAGTTATATTAGAACAACTATTGTGTACGAAAACATGAAAAGACCTTACTTTGACTTGAAGGGCTATGGGATTAGGAGTGTTGAGGTTTTAGTTGAGAAATCACACCAGCTGATGAAACGTATACATGCTATATTTTGGAAATGAATAGAATGGCAATCTGTAGTTTAACCGTTGCGGCTCTTCACACTCATCCTCTTTTCATGTCAATTTAGACTCCCGAGACCAAGTGGCAAAATGACCATCGTTTCATACTTCTGTTGCGTTGTCGAGTTGCCACCATTGATTATTCGCTGCGATACTCAGTTTCTAGGAACGCAGTTTTCGCCTTATGTTGTCCATTCTCACTGGCGCAGAGAGTTGGGAAGTGGAGTGGTGTGGGGACGCTCACGTGAGTGTATCTCCCGTGACGCAGGGCCAACGCATGCCATTTTCATGAGTTACGATCCTTCATTCTACAATCTCATGACTATATCGTTGGCACACAAATCTACAACACCATAAGGCCTCCACATTGAAATTGCCGAGTTATGCATCGACTGGATGACCTTGGCACAACCTGCATGCCAATGCAAACACTGCCGCCGCCACCATCCTGAATCCTGCGCTTATATGTCCCGAACCTTCCCCCTCGTCTCTTCGACTGGTGACATAGCGCTTATCTTGACACTATATTGGCAATCAAAATGGACGACCTGCCCTCGTACGAAGCTGCGACTTGTCCCAATGCTTGGACACTCATTGCGCCGTACCTACCTTCCCAAGCACTATGCTCTGCAGCGTTGGTCTCTCGAGAATGGAACAAGATTTTTACACCATGGCTCTGGGGAAGTCCAGCCTCTCATTTCGGGGAGCAGAATGACGTTGTTTTTGGTATAGAAGAACGATTCATGGAGCAGGAAATACCTACTAACTCACACATCAGTGGCTCTAACGCGATTTAAGCGTATTCTGTCTAATGCGCGCGCTTCTGTATGTGAGCTCACGCACACGCTCTGTCTTCCTCCTGCCCATGCCGAAATATATTCTGGTCCACATTCAGAGTGGCTTCGAGACTGTCTGGAATACCTCCCTCGTCTCCAATGTTTGATAGTCAATGGCCTTCCATTTTTTGACCATGCGAGCCTTCTTAGCCTTCGCTATCCAAGCCAACGACTAAGGCCTAAGTTTCCAGTGTTCAGTTTGAGACTGCTTGATGCCTCGGGCTGTATGAATGCCACATCAGCAGGGCTTGCAGAGGCTCTTCCGCATTTCCCTGATCTTGTCTCTTTGGATTTGTCCAAGACTAGAGCCTCTAGAGGCAAAGCGGTGTTATCCGCTCTCAAGCACCTTCTCAACCTGCGTGTTCTGAACCTCTGCGGTATTGGCTTGAAAGATGAGGATTTCTCAATAGTCGCACACTCGATCAGAAGTCGGGTCAGAAGTCTTGATATCAGCAACAACCTCTTGACAGATACCAGTACGCGACTTCTCCTTGAACTCTGTTTGAAAGAGATAGTAATCACTCCACATACACACCGGGGTCGTTTGGCACCTGTTGAGCAAGAGCAAGGGAATAATGAAATAGATGTATTCGAGTCCGAGAACCTCGTAGGACCTCTTCGTAAAAAGCTCATGGGAGGTTTTGTTGGCACACTACCAATCGAGGAAGCACGAGATGTTGGGATATCCCATCTCTACTTATCAGCAAACAACATCACCATTGAAGGAATATCTTCTCTGCTGCGATCAGGGCGCCTTAAAGTTCTGGATGCAGGCGTATTGCCTGCTACGATCAGGAATCCTTATCCTGTCGACCCAAGTTCTGAAGAAGACGACATGAAGTTGCCGAGTGTCGCCAAGCTGGTGCCCATCTTGTCCAAATTCGCACGCCACAAGTTGAGGTATGTTAGACTCAACTATCAAATAGTGACGGAGAATGCTCCCATCGAGAGATCTAAATCGCCACGTGCAGAACTTTGTGGAGGGCCTGGGGCCTATGAGCGTCCAGAAGCTCATGAGCTTGAAAATACGGAGTTGTCAATGTCTGAGCTTGACTCAGAATTCACAACTGTTCAGGAAATTGCAGATTATTCATACCCAATCGAATTGCCTTGCTCTTTCCCGCCAGCTGAAACGTCGAATCATGCGTCTTCAAGCACAGCTGCCAGTGGCCACAAACCAGTAGCTGCACCAACTCCAGCTGCCATCATTACTTCACAGCCGCCGTTGGGCCAACAAGAGTCCCCAAATTACCGAAATCAGACGGGCTTGCCGTTATCCCCAATCAGTCCTCTTCAGCAAAGCTTTGAAAACCACAGAGGTAGTCGCGAGGGTGACTTGTCCCCATCATGGAGCCCTTCGCTGTTTCCACCCAGGCCTACCCCCGATATGCAATTCCCATCTACACTTGTTTTTGAAACGATATGTCAAGAAGATCCCCTTAATCATGTTGAAGATATGAAAGTTCGGCTATCATATCGCCAATCGCAAGAACCCCGTCTGCATCCAGGAATGCTACCCAATCTACATACACTGGTTCTCACCAGTGTGCCTATCGCAGCTGAAAAGTATATGGTAGACCGTATCATACAGTTCATCAAAGATGCGGCAGATGAGGCTTCGATTGCTAGACAAAGTGCCCGAAACACTTACGCGCTTCCTCCAGGTCGCAGGCGTGTCGTGGCCGAAGAGGAATATGCGCACAGCTTGTTTGCCCTACGACGTATTGTCCTAGAGATGGCTTCTCCGCAGCCGGCACCCAAAAAGATATCTACCAGTTGGCGCGCTTATCCCACGAGGTCAACCACTGAGGATACTGATTCAGAGGCCTTTTGGGAAGCTGCGTCGCACGACTTTTCATTCTTTGGTGATGAAGAGTGTGGACAGCCTAGTCAGCAACTGGCTCGTCCGCTGCCTTTGGAAGCCATGAGCGGGCTCGAACTTGCTACTGATCATACTCACCCAGTTCCTGAGCCCAGGGAACCCGAAGTTAGCCCCAGAAGATTGTTTGACGTGATAGGAGAGGTTGGTAAATTCCGAAGAGAAAGGAAGGCTGCCTATGAGGAGCTGGTAGCGACGGGTGAGGCCAATCCTGATGTCAAAGGCTACTGGCCTGGGGACATCACTGTTGTGAGAATGCCATTAAATGCGGAAGTTGGAGAACTCGATTGTTATGGGAATCGATACGAGTCTGGGTGGTACTATCGGTGATTGCTCTGCTAACATGAGAGAAAAGGAAGCTGTGCGATGACGTATTGCTTAATATGGAGAAGAGGCGTGATTTGACACGATACGACATTGCAAGCCTGGTGACCAACTCTGAGATAACGAGCCAGTCAACGGGGAGCTTCACCTCTCTTTTGCCCGACTGTGATGGGGCCCTGTTAGTGAAGCAAAGTACTATGTTAAGGTTGCTTTCGTGCAAACGTGTGTGAGGAGACCATTCAAAAAAAAACCAAAGTTTCTGATACATTGCAGGCGAGGGTCGCGGGAAAAAAAACAAGGTCAACGCTCATGCCGGATTATTCGCAGTATTAACAGAACAGTTCGCATGCAACCCCCAATAGTCCCATAGTGGTTCGGTATGATGACTAGAATAGTATTGATTCTCCGAGCGGGGCGGCTTTCTGGCAGTCGTAACGGTTATTTGTGGAGCTTATGGGATATGGGATGACGGGCAGCCCAGTATCGAATAGTAGTCCAGAGTAGGCCGTCCGGGCGTGGGTGCTTTGTGGCATGCCTGGATCATTGCGTCTTGCGAACTGGTCCACCTGCCGTCTTGGTACACTAACCGGATCGGTTATCCCCGGGCTGGATCTCACCAAGCAGGGCCATCGCATTATCACGCTTTTGCACAGATTCGATGCACACGCTGTCTTCTCAGGCTACTCGGTGAGATACGCAAGTCGCCGACGCGTTATTCTGCGACCTCGAGCCCACCCTTGCCGGCTTCCCAACACGCCACGCTGTCTACATGGCGCCAATCGACACTCCACGACCACGCGTGAGAAGTACACGACCACACCGGCGATACATATCCGACTCGGCTCCTGTTAACAAGCGGCGCAAGTACATACCAGGTGGCAGAGGGGGCGGTGGACAGTACGTCGACTTTGAAGGGCCGGAAACGCCTGGGTATAGCTACACGGGTGCCCGCAGTCGCGCAGGGAGACAGGACCTTTCCATACCAGCGCCATCACCTTCATACTCTCGACCCCGACGCGAACGGCCGTCAGCTGGACCTCGCTCCAGTTCGGCTGCTGCAGTCGCCGCCGCCGTGGCTCAGAACGATGGATTCAAGCCGCGCGAAGAGAGATCTTGGGATGAATTTCACCCGGATCTCGACATAGATGCCGAATTCCCCGTCTATAGCGCAGACCAAATTGATGGCATCAGTCCCGCAGAGAGTGCCTCTGGTACTCCACAGGACATCTCGTCCAGTGGCCAATATGCGATTGATACGGGTCTTTCCACCGTCCTCGATGGCATGCGGGCACAGCAGGTGGAGACTGCCGAGCAAGAGGACGCGAGTGCATTTGTGACGCCAAAGCGACGCCCCGGACGACCCCCGCGCGACAGACACTCTATGCTCGCGGGATTGGGCTCCCCTCCTCGACCGCGCATCAATCCGCTTCCGACGATGAACCCCCGCGAGAAACTGAATTTGCCCAAGCCGTCAGTGCGCCAAGTAGACCCTTTCAAAGAGCACGAGGAAAGCGAAGGTGTCAAAGTCAACTATGTGGACAAGACCATGGCAAACATTGGCTACCAGGAGAGCGAGGTCTTTGCAAGAAGTTCGGAGAATAGCCTAATCAGACTCCCCGAAGGCTCAATCGAAGAAGATCTCGATCTCACATTGCAGACAGAGGCCGAGGGAACTACAGGCGCAGTTGCTATAGGCCGCGTAGAGTACGACATGGACGAACAGGATGAACGATGGCTGGAAGCGCTCAATGTGCAGAGAAAAGAAGAAGGCGTCGAAGGGATTAAACCGGCAATCTTCGAGGTCACCATTACTCAGATTGAGAAGGAATGGCATGCGTTGGAGAAGCGTAAGTTGAGCCGAGGTCGATTCGTGTCCACAGTGCGCTAGCTGACGTGTAAAAGGCATACCTAAACCAAACCCTAAGCCGCCACAGACACATCGCCCACGATCTAGCAGTGCGGCCGCTGTCAACGGAGAGCCTGCTGGACAAGGCGAAGAGCAGGACACAAAATGTGCCATTTGCGATGATGGCGATTGCGAGAACACCAATGCTATAGTATTCTGCGATGGCTGCGATCTGGCTGTGCATCAAGAATGTTACGGCGTGCCTTTTATTCCAGAAGGCCAGTGGCTATGCAGACGGTGCCAGCTAGTAGGGCGCGGTACGCCTGCTAGTGAGCTTCCGGTACGTCTCATCAACATGCACTCTCCTATGCTTATACTGATTGTTACAGGGTTGCATTTTCTGTCCAAATGTAGACGGCGCATTCAAACAAACCACGACCATGAAGTGGGCACATCTGTTGTGCGCCATGTGGATTCCAGAGGTATCACTTGGTAATGCAACTTTCCAAGAACCAGTACAGGATGTTGAAAAGGTGCCCAAAACACGCTGGAAGCTGGTAAGATAACGATACTATGTTCACCTCTACATCAGACTGACCAAAAATACAGTCATGCTACATCTGCAAACAGAAGATGGGCGCTTGTATCCAGTGCGGACACAAATCATGTTTTGAGGCTTTCCACGTGACATGTGCGCGCAGAGCCAGACTGTGTCTACGCATGAAGGCATCGCAATCGGCAAATTCACAGGATGCGACTGTGCTCAAAGCCTATTGTGACCGTCACACTCCGTCTGACTGGAAGCGGGAATATGATGTTGAGAGTGCGATTGCAGATGCAAAGGCCTTTTACCGCCATACAATGCGTCATGTCCGATGGCCAGACAGTCAAGCCTACGCCCTTTCTATCGGCTCATCGCATGCAATGCCTTCCATTGAGGGACCAGATGACGATGGTACAGGCTCCAACAAGCGCAAACGTGCATCAGGCACAAAGTCCTGGAGACTTCCCTCTGGAGCCCCTGTTGTTCCGCAAGCCGTATACCACAACGTCGAAAATACGCTAATAAGATTCAACGTTCGTAAGCGAAAGGAGTTTGTGCAGGATGCTTGCAAATACTGGACATTGAAGAGGGAGGCACGACGTGGTGCTGCTCTTCTGAAGCGCCTTCAGCTTCAAATGGAAGCCTTCTCATCCATGGAAATTACCCGGCGTAACTTTGCAGGCATGGGCGCAGCCGGCAGACCTCGACTTCAACGACGCATTGAATTTGCAGAGCGCCTTGAAGATGACATGGAACAGATTCGTGTGCTTTGCGAAATGGTCAAACAGCGAGAGGCTGAAAAACTCAAGGATGTCCTCATCTTGCAGCAGATTGTGGACTGCATTTACTTTCCCATCCCGACACTACTGCAGCCCATTTTGGCTCGAGCACAAGCGTAAGCAGCCCACTACGCACACTTCATTGACCTTCTACTAACATTGTGCCAGACTCGATAGTCGAGGCTACTTTAGCGACGGATTCAATCATCTTCAAACCAAACTTGACGAAAAGTTCTACACATCCGTCCAGGTGTTCAACGACGATATGGCAGCGGTCTTGAGCGCTGAACTTGGGTTTGCTGCTGTTACCAACATCAATGATGCTGAACAACAACTAAACCAGGTTTCTCACAACAGTCTGACATCTGAGCAGAAAGAGATGAAGAAAATTGTTAAGCGAATCACCAAGGTCTTACAACCTAGCTTTGAAGATGCGATGCGGAAGGAATCCGAGTTGGCAGGCAGGCCGTATGAAAAACTACCCGACCTCGAGACGCTCCTCAACCAAAAGCTCCAACGCAGACCCAGTATTCTCTCACACGACGAAAACATTCGACAAACCACTGAGATGGATCAGCCAAGCATTGCACAGGCTCAAGAAGATGCTATCGACGGAGAAGAGGCTGCTGCAATGGCGCAGAAGCCCGAGGAGATGCAAATGGCGCCTACACCTGACGAGAACGCTGCTGATGCAGATCGGATACATGACGAAGCGGCTGACGAGGCAGCAATTGCTCTACAGCTCGGCCAAGATGCACTACACGTGTCAAGGAACCAGTCTCAAAGCGATGCTCTCGCAGAAAACCACGCTCATGTAAATGGCCGCCCAGAGCTTTTGACTCCTCCGAGATCTGAGAAGAACCTTCTCAATCCATTGGGTAATGGTGGCGTACCGTGGTACTTTGAGAATTTCGACGTGCACGGCACCACCGTGTATGAGGAAAGATACAAGGGCCGTGAGGTGCTTCGAGACATGAGCGAGGAATTGAGCGAGCTCGACGACGACGAATTGGATGGCCTTGCTGACTCAGATCCTGTTAGGCCTGTAGACACGTCTGATGCAAACGTAGCGGCGATCAAGAAAGCAGTGGCCCGCAAACGGCAGAAGCGACCGAGGGGTTGGTAGGTAAGTGTTGTGGATACTGTATTGTTTGTTTTCTTTTACTTTTCTTGCGCATGGGCCACTCATGTCGCATCTTGTATTATCTTTGGCATTTGTAATATACCTTCTTGGGGGGTTGGAAGGTGTACTGCAGGCGTACGGCATGTGGCGTAAATTTCACAGCAGGGACTGGTCAGCGCATGTCCATGTGTTGTTTCGGGCAGGGTATGTTGATATGGCGCAAGTGGTTGGCTGCTGGCTGCACGGGATCCCATAGGCAAGGGCAACGAAGTGTCGGATGCAAGACGCCTGAATATGAACTTGAGTTGACGATTCGAATTGCCGGTCATGGCCCGTCTGGTTAAAGACGTTGGGAGCATATGTGGATGAGGAGCCGAGCCTCACGGGCCGGCTAGCAGAGTTGCTGCGTGGCCGGTGCCCCTAGCGGTTGCCTCACTCAGCTGCCTGGTGCTTCGTCGTTTTTCATGCTCGTACAAATAGCAGCCAGTCTCGCTTTGTGCCTCGACTCCCTTTCACCTCCTCTTCCACTTTTACTCCACTTCAGTGCAGCACCGGTCATTTTAGCGCGACGCTTACTAAGCGAGACGCGGCTACGGTCGATCAGCCCTGCCAAAAAAACCGCCTAAACTCCAGCTTCAGCAAACACCTTTCCTCAACCAACAAACTCCTGACCCACCACGACATCATCATCATGGAGTACGAGAACGAACAGCGCCCCTACGACGGTGTGTTTGTCTGCCTGTGCCTTGTTTACTGCATACTGACTGCATCCCAGACGAGCCTCGCGGCTACGAACGCGATCGCAGCCGGTCTCCGCGTGCTGACCGTCGCGATGACGGAGCGCGTCCTCGCAGCGCCTCTCCAGGTGGTCGCGATAGCCGGTGAGTTGCTGCCCTTGTTGTTGTCTCCTCTTGATGGCAGAGTTTGCTAACGTTGATGCAGTGGTCCGCCCCCGGAGCGCAGGAACGATGACGACGAGAGCCGCAACTCAGGCTCCAACCTCTTCGTCACCGGCATTCACCCTACTCTCACCGAGGACGAGGTCACGCGTCTTTTCGAGAAGTACGGTGATGTCGAGCAGTGTAACATCATGCGCGACCCCCACACCAAGGAGTCTCGCGGCTTCGGTTTCGTCAAGATGGTTACTGCTGAGCAGGCCGACAACGCCAAGGAGGGACTGCAAGGAGAAGTTCACCAAGGCCGCACATTGAGCATCGAGAAGGCTCGCCGTGCTCGCCCTCGCACACCTACTCCGGGCAAATACTACGGCCCTCCCAAGCGCGGTAAGTTCGCTTGTTGTTTACATGGCTGATGATGGGGCTGACAGTGTATTAGAGTTTGGAGGGCGCGGCCGGGGCGGTCCTCGCTACGGCGGCGATCGCGACTCGTACGACCGTCGCGGCGGTGGATACGGCAGACGCGATGACTATGGCTCTCGCAGCTCGCGATACGACGATCGTGGCTATGGAGCTGGCCGCCGTGATGACTACCCCCGGGGTGTTGACCGCTATGCTTCGGAGCGCAGGTACGACCGTCGTGGCGGCGGCGGTGACTACTATGACAGGCCTCCTCCGCCAGCTGCCGGTGCCTACGATGCCGCTCCTCCCCGTGACGCGTACGGTGGTGGAGGTGGAGGTGGAGGTCGCTCGTACAACGAGGGTGATTACGATCGCTCATACCGCTAGCTCCCCAGCTGACCTAGGCAGAACCCAAGCGGTACTAAGTTAGGGTTCGTATGGCTTCCTCGGTTTGGCGCCTTTTCCAGCACTTCACTTCTGTAATCCTATGACTACTTCACTGGGGTTCAGTTTAATACGGCTTTTACACAAAGGGCATGTGGTCGACAAAAGTTCATCGATATGGTTCACGGCAGCGCAGGTAGCACTCTACCGTGGTCTGCCTTCTTGCAGCTCGACATGATATTATCCTTCGTCAGCTCGGTAATTTCCTTGGAAAATCGGTTCAGCACTTCGCTAAATGCTTTCGGGGCATCGTCTATAGCCCTTGGGACCATCAGTCATCTTGATCGACACCAAATTGTACTTCTATCTACTGTCCTTCGATGCAACCTGGACATCCAGTAGCCAGTCCACACCACCTTTCCGCATGATCAGCACTGTCTAAATACTTTCACTATCATCCACCATGACCGCCATCATGTCAGCGCAGCCCCTCCCGACCCAGTAGCATAATTGGGCCTAAAAGTTTCGCCGTCGAACATTCACAGCCTTTCGCATTGTAGACCGGCACGCCGATGACTGTAGATGCATCGCTGCCACTGCCCGCCCACGTGCTTTGTCTGACGCATGTCGGAATGCCAAGACTAGCCGTTTGGCCGAGTCGTGCATAGATATCAAAGTATGTGATTATAGCCTGTAGCTGAGCTGTTTGCTCGACGCAAACGGTCATAATATGTGCGGGCTCTAAGGTACATACAGTGCAAGGTGCGTGGCCCCTCCCCAAATTTCATTCACCTCACTTCCCTTTTTGGTCATACGTGGTTTGCTCATCACCGCACTTCCCTTCGACTGTGCGCCAATTCAAAGTCGGAGAATATGTCCATTCACTCAGCCCTTCCTGCCAACTATCTTTGCAACCTATCGCCTCAAAAGACTCTGATCAGATGTCGCCGTCTCAAGATGGAGCGCGCACATAGCTGCTGGTGCTGTCGCAGCTTAGATTGCCTGCATGTAGGTGTGCATATGCCTGACAATGATTCCACTTATATTCCTGGTTCTGCGATAGTACGCAACTCGCCAGTTGATCAGCCAGGCTTATTAAATCACACAATGTCGTAGCTTAGGCCATCCTCTGAGCAGCCTAGGGTACACACTGGTTTGTCTCAGCATGTAGAAAATTGAAATCCGTGCCACAATCAAACCAGTCTTCATACGGTGACTTTTGCCACTCTGTATTACTAGCGTTTGCTTCAGTGTAGCGATTGTGGCGCTTTTCAAGCTAATGGAAGCGTTCGAGTATTCTTGGGGATCGACCCGCTCGACGCCATACTGATTCGGCTCCCGTGCAGGGGTCCCTGTGAGTGGGTCACTTGGGGGGTTAACTTAAAGCGACACAAGCCTGCATCGACAGGTTACCAGCCTGACGGCGGCGACACATTAGGGGAGTACGCGGTCATCTCCATGGCATCCTGTATTCCCCCTCTTCTCAACCCTCTCTGGGGCGTTTTGGCAGTCGCGTTACCTGCACCTGTTCGCAAAGGGACACGGCAGTAATTTGGCATTAATCTTGCCGCGCGGACACCTCCACATCGTGGTCAGCTTTCATAGTAAGGATACACCCAGTCAGTCCGACGCAAGCGTGAGTTAACCTTCTCGCAGTGGACTTTCCTAGGGCTCTCACACAATCCACGTCTCCATTCCTACCATCTCCGCTTTCTTGGTTTCCAAGTCGCTCTCTCCACCTCCCTCCTTACGCACCATGACCAGACGAAACGTCATTCCCCTCCTTGCCGTGTTCGTCGTCCTTTCCATAACTGCATTCTTTTACTCCGACATACGCACCAGCGAGACGTGGAGGAGTTTTCCCCAACATGTGGGCTTGGGAGAACACATTGGCAGCAATGCGCAACCGCACAGCGCGGACCCATTGGGCGACCCCGACTACACGAATTGGAATCCGAAACCCGTGTTCAAACCAGGCTCGCCAATGCCTCCGGGGCATAACTACACATCGACACTGATAATCGCAAAGACGAAGAAAGAGGACATCGGTTGGTTACTGGAAAAGGTACCGGAGCAAGACAGAGCCGTCTATGTCGCGGACGATCCAACTGCGCCGTTGCACCCCACAAAGAACAAGGGCCACGAAGTCATGATCTACCTATCGTGGATTATTGACAACTACGACAACCTTCCTGATGTCGCCATTTTCATGCATGCGCATCAATTATCATGGCATAATGACGTGCTCCTGGGTAACGACGCACACGAAATGATCACTCGTCTGAGTCGGCCACGCGTTTGGAGAGAAGGTTTTGTGAACATGAAGTGCACTTGGCTCCCAGGCTGCCCGGATTGGATGCACCCAGGCATGACGGAACAGAGCAAAAACAAGCCGGAAGAGGTTCTTCTTGCAAAGTCCTGGAGCGAGCTTTTCCCTCTCGATGAAATCCCTAGTGTGCTGGCGCAACCTTGTTGCGCCCAATTTGCCCTCTCGCGAGAACGGATACAAGCAAAACCCTTGGCGCAATACGTCTGGTATCGTGACTGGGTATTCAACACACAATTACCGGACTACCTTAGCGGGCGCATCTTTGAGTACATCTGGCAATTCATCTTCACGGGTCAAAACATCTACTGTCCAAAGGAACATGTCTGTTTCTGTGACCAATACGGCGTCTGTTTTGGTGGCGAGGAAGAATACGACAATTTCAAGGCTCTTGAGGCCGAATTGAGCGACAACCGAGGGAAGCTCCTGAACTGGTATCAGAGAACAGCGTATATCGCAGAGGCGAAGAAACAAGGCAATATGCAAATGCTAAGGGAAATCGAGACACCTGGGCCAGGCAAGGACGAGGAGTATAGGAGGGAGATTGACCGCTTGAAGCCGATGGTCGATCAGTTAAAACATGATGCCTATGCTCGAGGCGATGACCCGCGGAATCGCGCGTTGGAGGTGGGAAGGGAGTGGAAAGAGGGTGATGGTTTTTAATGCAAATGTTTTTTTCTCCGTTTATCTATCGATGTCGGGGACACCGCAAACAGAATATATAGAAATGGTTTATTCAAATCAGCAGTAGTATTTCAATCTTCTCTGAACTGCTTCTCCTTATCGACTATTGCAGAGCAAGAACACAAGCCATGATTGTGATTTAGCCACTGTGAAGTTATCAAGCATAAGCACACCTCTTCTGGTTATTGCTAGAATTCATTCCGGCGATCGAATACTAAAACTGCGTTTCTTCGAGAAAGAATTAGACTATCCGTGCCAAGGCTTAGCTTATTAAGCTAAGTCAGCTGCGCTGACACTCGCCGCAGGCGAGT